ATAAAGTGTCATTTTGTTAAAAAGGGGGGAGAGTGTGATGACCCTGCTTTGCATGGTCTCCACGAGTACATTGTGGCAAGCAGGAAGTCCGTGCTACAAGTGACGGCACGAGATACTTGTGGCCGGTGGAGTAAGCGAGGCGAAGCCCGAGCTAGCCTCGTGGTCAGTCGATCATCAGAAGTCAGGGAAGAAGGTCGTAGTAATTGAAGATGTAGTTTTTATGTCGCGAGAATGGTTAATGTTTGAATATGTCGCGAGTGCTAAAGTGTAAATAATGTTTGAATATGTGAAATAAATGGACCAGAATAAACTGACAGAATGTATAATGAAGCTGAGCGGCGTTTGTGTTGTCAACCCTAGACGTTAAAGTTGGTGTAAACCAAGGTTCTTTCCAAGCCGAACCACGATTCATTCCAAGTTGAATACGACTCATATCAAGTGGGGTTCATTTCAAGTCTACGTCTTGGTTCATTTCAAGTAGACCACGGTTCATTCCAACTGAGATTATCAGATTACCAGATTACTAGAGTGCATATCACTTGTAATAATCTGGATTTTAGTTGTAACAGTCAAGAAAACAAAAACGTCGTTGCCACCTTGATGTGGAGCGGATCCTCATTGTCCCTTGTCCCAACTCAGACGAAAAATGGCAAACACCATTAAAACAAAGCAGTGGCTACCATCACTTTGATATTTAGACACTTAATTATACATTTTTGTGATTATTTTGTTATGTGACACTGAATAATGTGCATTTTTTCGCCTGCAGGGAGGTTTTCACAGTGCTTCGGATTTTGATGTTTGCCTCCTATTTTTAATTACATCGTTTTATGCTGGGGGTGGTTGTGATTGGCGTGTCAGGTCTTACCAAAAAATTCAAGGGAATGACCTGATAAAGCTTAGAGACCACTGACTTAGACAGACGACTATAAAAATAAATAGAGTAAATGTCGCTCTTTGTGTCAGTCCGCATTTTACTACTTATGTCCTGTTTGATGTTGAGAGGAACAAAGGAACTATTCACCCCATCCTACATGAGGAAGACTTGGACACGTGAAAGGTTTTTTTTCACACATAGGGAACACTGTATGCCTTGGAATTACCAGAACCATTTATTCAGCTCTGTATTTCTGTGATACGACTTCCATTTCATGTTTTTGCCATAGATATATTGACTCTGTCTCAATATGGGACAGGACTCTCTCTCTGTGTGTGTGTGTGTGTGTGTGTGTGTGTGTGTGTGTGGTTATTTCAAAGCCCCACTCTGGCTGTTGTGGGAGGCCCTAATATAACCTAACAAATGAACAGGTGTTTCTGGGACATGCATGGGCGATCCTAATCCAAATGGTGGCACTTTGTGTCACTGGATGTTTAATCACTTGTCGCGCGGTCCTGGTAAGGTTGGACGTCACTCACTAGCCATAACAGATCTTATTTAATCATTAAACTAAGTCTCAGAAACTCGTTCAGTCCAAATCAAACATTATCGAATATTCGAGTTCACAAGGTCAAAAGTTCTTGAGTGCGAATGAGCACTTCTACATGTGTCGTAGGAATCAAAAACTCGTTAAAATGTGAACAGATATAAACGATAAAATTTTTATTTTATTTGGTTAAAAATTATAGTGGGTAAAATTTGTTATCACTTTGGATGCTGTCATGTTTTTGTTGTTGTTTATTGCTGTAGCTGTCATGTTTGTTGATACGGCAGCTGATAACAGGGAGTGGTTATCGTGAATGTGTTGTCTCGTTCAGTTTACTTATTAATGCGGTGCACTAAAAGATGCAAGGATGGGGTTTCTTAGACAAATGATGAGAATATTACAGGCAGATAAAAATGCTATAAAAATGTCTTGAAAGAAATTAAGAGAAAATTGATTGCCCGCATATGCAGTAAACAATCCACAAGCATCTTGCACGACACGAGAAAAGAGTATATCATGACAGATAGGTGCAGGGAAAAAGATGCAACGCATCATTTCTTCTTGTTCTTGTTATCTTTCTTTTTCTTTTTCTTCTTCTTCTTCTTCTTCTTCTTCTTCTTCTTCTTCTTCTTCTTCTTCTTCTTCTTCTTCTTCTTCTTCTTCTTCTTTTTCTTCTTTTCTTTTTCTTTCTTCTTCTCTTTTCTTCTTCTTTTTCTTCTTCTTCTTTCTTTTCTTCTTTTCTTCTTCTTCTTCTCTCTTCTTCTTCTTCTTCTTCTTCTTCTTCTTCTTCTTCTTCTTCTTCTTCTTCTTCTTCTTTCTTCTTCTTCTTCTTCTCTTTCTTCTTCTTCTTCTCTTCTTCTTCTTCTTCTTCTTCTTCTTTCTTCTTCTTCTGCTTCTTCTTTCTTCTTCTTCTTCTTCTTTTCTTTCTTCTTCTTCTTCTTCTTCTTCTTCTTCTTTCTTCTTCTTCTTCTTCTTCTTCTTCTTCTTCTTCTTCCTCTTCTTCTTATTGTTCTTAAAATTCTTAATTAGTCGCAAGCTAAGAGGCATTGTTTTATTCTCCTTCCCCCACCCCCTCACCCCCTCACCCCACCTCTAAAACAAAGACATTCTAAGAGAGAGGTATTTGCTTTAGTCTGACATAACCAAGCGAAACTTGTGCATCGGAAATAATTAATCTTTTTTGACTTGCTTTCATCTAATGCTGGGTCATAAGTTTCGCAGCTTGTTTTTCTGTATTACTTTCTGTAATTGTTCAGCTCTTTAAGTTCCCGCCACTTGATTATGCTGATGTGAGCTTACCATTAAAAACCAGGCATTGAAAGGCTATATTTAGACCAGGGCAATAGTCCTGCCAGACTTTTGTAGATATCGCAATCCGGCAAAGGGCCAAAACGGGAAGGACACAAACCTGCGCTGGGTCGATAACAACGACAATAAGAAACACATTTATTTGTAAGTGGGTAAACGATAACTACGACAATAACAAGAACATTTATTTGTAAGTGGGTAAACGATAACTACGACAATAACAAGAACATTTATTTGTAAGTGGGTAGACGATAACTACGACAATAACAAGAACATTTATTTGTAAGTGGGTAGACGATAACTACGACAGTAACGAGAACATTTATTTGTAAGAGGGTAGATAGAAAGATGATATTGATTAGTCTAATAAAATCACTAACATGGAGCTTTTGCAAATATATATTCAAGTGAATCAAGAGGCGATGAAAACACGCCGTCGTTGGATAGGTACACGATGAGAAAACCTAAGATTATAACTATAAGGGCTTCAACTGTAATTCATGGGTTGTTATAAATAAAGGTGAAACGCAAAAAGGAACAAGAGAGTTAAGTTAAAATGACGGGGTTAACACAGGATGAGCATGCGAAAGCAAAGAATATGTTAACTTGGCTTGAGCTGGTTGAGGGCCTATGCTCTATCTGAGGATAAACAGTAGAAGAAGAAACAAGAATATGAACGATAATTTTTAAAGCGAGTGGACGATTTCAACAAACGGATTTCTACAGAAACTCTGGTATTCATAATAGGAACCTGTATTTTCATAACTGATACACACACGGGGAACTAGCATTCAGTCGCTGTGAACAGAACGACGAATTGTTTAAATACGTAGATCCTTTTCGCTCCCTGGCGGAGCCGGACTTTTTTCAAAAATGCCCTTGTATCCCAGGTCGACCCTGCCTTGAGTGGGTACCGGGTGCAGTCACAGGAAGTAAAAGCGGCCGGCGTGATGCTGATAACATCACCCATCGTGTGCCGATTGGTCTATAAAATATAGGACCAACCCTACATGCCCTATAAGCCTAAAGGCGTGAAAAAGGGTCCTTCACTTGTTTTCTTCACTTTTGCTTACGTAGTTCCTGTTAAGCTAACGTTGGTTCCGATAGTGCAGGAAAACAGCAAATCCGAACTAATAATCATATCAACATATATATATATATATATATATATATATATATATATATATATATATATATATATAGAGAGAGAGAGAGAGAGAGAGAGAGAGAGACAGTCAGACAGACAGACAGACAGACAGAGATGAAGAGACATAAAGAAACAGACTAATAGGAGAAAAGCAATGAACACGAACAATAACAAGGATAGAATGACAATAGGTGTCGGTGCGACTTTCTTCTAGTTTCACTGCCCAGTTGATGTTGTTGGTGTTATTGTTGTTGTTGTTGCTATTTGCTTTTAAAGCCATTCTTCTTATCAGCACCACAACAGTCACAGCCAGTGTCCAACACAGGGAGAGTTTCTCAATTCAACATGGCTTATACAGGTGGCGTGGATTTTTGTCGGGGTATGGGACGTCGCAGGTCGACCCAGCCTAAAATGGGTACCAGGATGGGCTGTCCTGGGAAAGTAAAGACAGCCGGCGTAATGCTGACCACATTACCCACAGAGTGCCGATTGGTCTGAAAAATATGGGTGCTCTTCCCATATGCCCGATGCGCCTAAGGGCGTGTAAAGGGATCTTTACCTTTTACTTTTTTACTATACTGGTGGGGGAAAATGGGGAAAATTCAGATCAGCTTAAGAATGCGTAAATATGCTAGATTACACCGGTGAAAGTTGAGAGGATCCACATGTTTTGTGTGCTAGATTTTATCTCATATGGATCAGTTTATCTCCACAAAACACGAACACCGAGGCTCTGGTGGTGATCCCTAACGGTCTCCTTAATACCAGCTTTCGTGAATCAAACGATGCAGCGGTAAAACGAACACACGACCTTTAAAGAAGCAAGAGACAGAGAGAGAGAGAGAGAGAGAGAGAGAGAGAGAGAGGCACACAGCTTCACCACTTCGACATGGACACCGACTGAATTGGATTATTAGTCGGTAACACACCCAGCATGTGCGTGAGAATGGGGACGAAAGGAAAGAAAAAGAGGACGACGACCAGATGGAAACATGAAACTAGAAGTTAAAGCAGATGTGTGCAAGAATACGCCATTCTCTGGCAACAAATTCCTAGTGGCAGTTCACCTGAAAATATCTCTGGCACAGGCACTTCACATGTCGCAACGTGTTTTCTAGGACGGTGTAACCTTGTGTCTTAGAAAATCATGAACCAACAGATTGTAAAACAGAGACAAACAGAACATGGAGACAATGTGTAGTTGATAATGGTATTTCTCTGCTTCTCTTTCTTCATGTTCGTGTTACTATTGATGTTGTTTTTATTGTCGTTATTGTTTTGTTGTTGTTGCTCTTCTTCTTCATCTTCTTCTTCTTTTTCTTCTTCTTCTTCTTCTTCTTCTTTTTTTCTTCTTCTTCTTCTTCTTCTTCTTCTTCTTTTTCTTCTTCTTCTTCTTCTTCTTCTTCTTCTTCTTCTTCTTCTTCTCCCTCTTCTTCTTCTTCCTCTTCTTTTTCTTCTTCTTCACCTCCTCCTCTTCTTTTATTCTTTATCATTGCTACCTTCAATGTTGTATAATCATCAGCTTTCTTCTTCTTTGTAATTGTTGTCATTGTTATCGATGTTATTTGTACAATCTTATTTGTAATCATCTTTATATCCCCCTCATTATCATCACCACTATCATCATCGTCATTGTAATCATCTATACGATATTCGTCATGGAAACTATTCGTCTTGATGTGGCATCCTTTCCACAGTGCATGCATTCATGGGTGTTATCTATCAACATACGATACTTATAGAACTGGTAGTCAGTAGTTCCAACTGAACGATTTAAGCTCGGTAGTTCTAAGTAGTACTAGCACATTTTACTCCACCATGACATCACACAGAGCGATAAACACCCAGTGACACAAAGTGCCAGCATGCTGATGAGGATCACAATTGGAGAAGCCCCAGAAACCGCGTTCAGCCTTTATGCCATATTGCGGCCCCCGTCAAAAGCCTGGTTTGGGCATCAAAATAATGAAAAATTGGGTCCCACATACGTGACGACCTGCACATTGCGTTTCCAAAACATGTTTGTATTAGTTACAATCATTATACTGGTACTCATTTTTTTGTTCCAACCATAAAATGGAACTGGATATTATACTAGTGTCGAACGCAATGGAAAAAAAGGACGAAAGGTTACATTTTAACAATTTCATGGAATCAACTATTATGAAAGGGTAGATCGACCAGAGAGGTATATAGTCATGCATGAGACTTTCTAGCGTTCATTTCTCTCTATTTGTTAAAGACAATCATCGCGGTCTCCGTAACCAAGTGACTAAGTAGTTTGTCTTTCGCTTTAAAGGTTGTGGGTTCGACTTATGACTTGGTTCTTCGGTTTGAAAGCCCGAGGAATTCGGAGAACTATAGAAGTCGCTGGTCGAGTTCGTGCTTCAGGTAAAGCTGTCGTTGGCATTCAGCCACTGTTGAGCGTGACCTCACAATAAACATTCTAAATACAGTTTAAGCACACCTATCTGTAGAGAACAAGCAACCAGTATCAGTAGTATTAGCAGTAGTAGTAATATAGTAGTAGCAGCAGCAGCAGCAGTAGTAGTAGAAGAAAAAAAAAAGAAGAAGAGGCAAAAAAAAAAAAAAAAAGCAACAGTAGCAGAAAAACAGAAGCAAAACAATTTTGTCTTACCTTTCTTTTTGCCTTCAGCTGTGTTGCATCCCTGTGGTCATCGGCGTTGCCAGGCAACTTGTGACGCCAAAGCAACCGACCAATCATTGTGTACGTCACAGATAAGATTGTCACTGGAAGAAAATACGTCACGATGGTGATAAAAAATCCGTACACAACTCGACCATCCTCGTCCAGAAATACTTCCTCACAGGAGACTCGGCCATCTTCTTTCGGAATGGTCCGACACATAAAAAATGGAATAACTCCCAAAGAAATGGCGAATATCCATATACCCACAATGAAAACTTTAGATCTGGAGTCCGTTACTCGTCTTCGAAGGGGAAACTTTACCGCTATTAGCCGGTCAATACCGATAGCGGTGTTGGTGCTGACCGATGCGGTGACGCTGACCACTTGACATCCCTGGACGAGTGGACACATGAAGTCTGAGAAAATCCAGTTATCTGTGATCTGGTAGGCGAAGGTGAACGGGATACAGAAGATTGCCATAATGAGATCAGCAATGGCCAGGTTGATGAGGAAGTGCTTCAGATCGCTGTTGGAGCGCCGGCCTTTGGCGAAGACAACGATGACGATTGAGTTCCCCAAAAGAGCCGCCAAGGTAGTCAGCGTATAGAGAATGATCAGAACGACGCTAGAAGAGAGCGGTATACGGGGAGATAACCTGAACTCCGTAGTATTGACCGGAAACTGTGACGTGTTGGCCATGATGGTTGTTATACCGTAAAGGCTGCCGTTCAGGCTCTCCCCATTAGGCTCAGGTATGGAGGCGTTAGAGAAGCGTTGAGCCCTGACATCCGCCCTCCACAAGGAATCAGTAATGTTAGTTGTCATGGTGGTGTCAGTAAGTCTTTGATAACATGTACGTTTAATGTGGCTGACACAGGTCCAGGTATGTAAGGATGTCTCCTAGGTTCTGTAGTTTGATAAATCAATTATATTGATATTTTTGCATTTCTTTATGCTGGATGTTGCGTTTATAAAGAAGCAATATCTATCCTTCGGTGTATTTTTTTTCACGTGCATTTTTTTGGTTAACAATCGTCGATCCCACTAGGGGACTGACATGTCGTCGACTTCATGTGTTTCCAAATTAAATAAGAGACGTATTATTTCTTGCATGGACACTTTGTTGTATTATCTAATATTTGGAGTACCACGAGAGATACGTGGCTTGTTAGTTCCATTTCATCTCATAATGATGGCTTTCACAAGTATCCCAGGATAAACAATGAAGTGAAAAATATTCACTTGTATTTAGTGTTTAATATCCCCCGATCGTTGAGTTAAAAGATGATCAGTTCTGTGCTCCACCAGAAGCGTTATCACTCATATATCGGATGTGTTCAATGTAAGATAAATGAACTGATCTTGTCTCTAGCTACTCATATCTCATAGCTTGTCTCTAGCTATTCATATCTCATAGCTTGTCTCTAGCTACTCATATCTCATAGCTTGTCTCTAGCTACTTATATCTCATAGCTTGTCTCTAGCTACTCATATCTCATAGCTTGTCTCTAGCTATTCATATCTCATAGCGTGTCTCTAGCTATTCATATCATAGCTTGCCTCATAGCTATTTATATCCTTTAGCGTGTCTCTAGCTATTCATATCTCATAGCTTGTCTCAAAGCTATTTATATCCTTTAGCGTGTCTCTAGCTATTCATATCTCATAGCTTGTCTCTAGCTACTTATATCTCATAGCTTGTCTCTAGCTACTCATGTCTCATAGCTTGTCTCGTAGCTAGTCATATCTCATAGCTTGTCTCTAGCTACTCATATCTCATAGCTTGTATCTAGCTACTCATATCTCATATCTTGTCTCTAGCTACTTATATCTCATATCTTGTCTCTAGCTACTCATATCTCATATCTTGTCTCTAGCTACTCATATCTCATAGCTTGTCTCTAGCTACTCATATCTCATAGCTTGTCTCATAGCTACTCATATCTCATAGCTTGTCTCATAGCTACTCATATCTCATAGCTTGTCTCATAGCTACTCATATCTCATATCTTGTCTCTAGCTACTCATATCTCATAGCTTGTCTCATAGCTACTCATGTCTCATATCTTGTCTCTAGCTACTCATATCTCATATCTTGTCTCTAGCTACTCATATCTCATATCTTGTCTCTAGCTACTCATATCTCATAGCTTGTCTCTAGCTACTCATATCTCATAGCTTGTCTCTATCTACTTATATCTCATAGCTTGTCTCTGGCTACTCATATCTCATAGCTTGTCTCATAGCTACTCATATCTCATTGCTTGCCTCATAGCTACTCATATCTCATAGCTTGTTTCATAGCTACTCATATCTCATAGCTTGTCTCATAGCTACTGATATCTCATAGCTTGTCTCTAGCTACTCATATCTCATAGCTTGTCTCATAGCTACTTATATCCTATAGCTTGTCTATAGCTATTCAAATTTCATAGCGTGTCTCTAGCTACTTGGAGTTTTCTGAGGGAAAGAAAAAAAAAAGGAGCATTACTTGACTCCATAAGGACAGTTTTGGCTCATGTATCTGTGTGCCATATTTTCCTGATAGTCATTAGGATCTTGTTCAGTTTTGTGTATGTCAGAGCCGTGAGTTTTAGTAGATAACAGATGATGCGAATATCCCAGGTCTAGTAGTAGTATCTCTTTGCTGGTGTCAATGTTTGTTGTTTCTTTTATATAGACGATTTCATTCATCACTCATTAGCGCAGATCGTCATATATTTACACCTTAAAGCTGCTTCTCATCCTAGACTTCATATAAGAGCTAGAACACTCAAAGCGACTTCTGACTGCACCTAGACCTCTAAGTTTCTTAATACCTGCAGAGATAATTTGAGAAACACGTCAGACAACATTCTCAGAACTCGATATCCCAGAATGAGAATATACTTTGTCTTCATATATCAGCTAAGGTTCGTGTCTGCTATTTCACTGATTACAATGCCGTGTTTATGAACCTCCTAAGTTCGTCGTGTTTCTAAAAGGAAATTACGGGATCATTTACTGATGAACGACCATTGTTTTTACGATTAAAATTGAGAGCATTTCTTTTTCCTGAGTTAAATAAAACCACACGTCTCTCGTCTGTGATAATTTTGTTTTCTATACATGCAGCCAGTTTAAAATAGACATAAAACATTTATACCTTACACCCACGCCAAAACAGACGCACGCGAGTACATGAAACAAAAGTAGAAGCAGAACATGTTTGGGCTATTTGACACCTGTAATTGGCCAGTCTGAGTACAGTTCGCATGTGAGCTGATGTGAGTGACATTAACAAGCTAAGCCCCAGAAGACAGCGCAGGATATGACAGATATTTTTGAAACTTTTCAGAAGTTGATATAGCTAATTTTTGTTTCTGTTTTTTTGCGTTTTCTATAAACAAAGATATTTACATAGATAAACAGTGACTTGGAGAAATAGCTAGATTGTCCTGACCCACACAAATAGCCTAGGTAATATCTAGTGTAACTTTTTATATCTTTTCTAGCTCTGTATCCCTAAATGGAGCAACAAACTCACGCTAAGGAGTCCACCCCCCCCCCCTTTTTTTTTTAATTATTTTTGTTCTATCAAAGTTTTTTTAATGCAAAGAAATACAATTGAAAACCTAACACGGTTAAAAAAATACTGAACAGGAATTGGTAAAGTCTTACTAGGTCGTCATTATTAACAGGTCCTTTGCAGAACGTCGCTCTCATCACAATCTGTCTGAAAGAAACTCGCTCTTGCCAGCTCTTCTGCCTAATGATCTTTCATTTTCACACTCAATGAGTCACTTTTATCCCATGCCCATCTTCGTGTTGATCGGCCCCTGCTTTCTGGTACCGTGCCTTCTGCTTGATATGAACAAAATATTTCAGCTTCCGAGACCGGGTGCGGTTTATTAGCCAATCTTCCTTGATGTTTAGAGCTTTCAAGATGTCAGTATTTCTCCTCTTCTTTGTCAAACATATTCTGCGAATTCTATTTATTATAGAGCCTAGATATTTAAAGTTTGTGACATTACTGGGTAGTGCTGGGTAAAGTCAGAATTATTACATAATTATTAAACACTTCACATAGAGGTTACATATTACAATTTTACTTTTAAGTTGCTTTACATCTTTGATTTCGTTTAAAACTAGAACACTCAAAAGAGACCTCCTTATTAATTATACCTGGATGTTTCTTAATACCAACAGAGGTAATTTAAGGAACATGCCACACACAATATCCTTCAGATATTGATATCTCAGAATGAGAGTGCACTGTGTCTTTATATAACGGAAGAGGAGTATAATGTATGACAATATGTGTAGTAGTAATGTAAAGTTATGAGTTATGCGTTAGATTATCTTCACAGCACTCTAGACACATCCATAGACGCTCAGATTCCCCTCTCAACAGCGTCGTGCAGTTTAATAGTACCAGTCATATGTTCTTTAACAAGACTTCTTGTGCTCAGGTGTGCTTCTCGTGCTTGGCTGTGACTATCTTTACTACCAATTCGCGTATTCTTAGGAGTGACATGGACACGTTGCTTCCAAAATCGTCAGAACGTCCTATCTCTCTAAGGGCAATGATAATGTATGCGTGATCCGTGGGCCGACCATCTTCAATTCATGTAGCACTTGCCAGTCTATCAGCTCTCTTATTACCAACAACGCCTGCATGTCCTGTGACGAAAATGAAAGTAAATGCACACACAGAAGAATTTTGCAACAACTCCAGCCTGCCTTGACCCGCCGGATCATGCTCAAAGAATGTAAAGTTAATTGTGTTTGATGAACTTAAAGCGGAAACATTAATCACATAATAATACACATTTAACAGGAATAGCTGCATAAATAAAAACTGGTAAGGAATATTAGTCAAGTGTTCTCCTAACCCATGAGGATTCTTGCTAGTTGAACAGGGTCCCTGAAGAATATAGATCCCATGTTCGTCTTCATGTATTCGAAAAAGATATACTGGTGTCGATACTCAAGCTGCCCGAGAGTCTATGTCGCAGGACTTCTGCTCTGTGTAGCTGTGTAGGCCAGAAATCAGTTTTACTGGTGCAAGATATGCTAGCAATAAGCAGTCGAATTAAGGTCAACCTATAGTTAAAAACGTATAAGACGACCACTATTTTCGCAAAATTAGGAAATGTTTTAAATCAGGTTACTTTGCAACCGTCTGAGGCAACAGTTTTACTTTCTGGTTATAGACTGGTTACCGGGATCTCCACCTGCAGGATTCTCATCCTTAGGGATGTTATTACGCTACAACTTAATTAAGTTGACTGTTTCGGAGACAAAAGGTCCTGCCTTTGAATGTTCTGTTGAGTGTGTGTGTTTGTGTGGGTGTGCGTGCGTGTGTGCACGTGTGTGTGTGTGTGTGTGGTGAGGTGGTTTAAAATTGTATATTCATGTTATAATGATATGAAAATAAAAGTCAGTTTACCATAAGACCGTATATCTACTATAAATCTACTAAATTATACATGCAAGTTGGGACAATAGAGTAATAAAAGTCACTGAACCAAGACCATGCAGGTTTAACAGGACAGCATATGGGTATTTAACTTGGACATTGAATCAATCGTCCGACAAACGCACCTGCGTCTATAATTATAATTCTCTTGAAAGATCATTGGACGTTTTTTTCTATCACTGACAGGTGCTCAGTATACAAGAAGACACATACAATCATGAACAACAAACCATTATTGACTGTGAAAAACAACCATTGTCTACGAAATTTAGAGAGAGATAAACAGAGAGAGAAAGACACAGAGAGAGAGAGAGACAGAGGGAGAGATAGAGATTAACAGACAGACAAAACGACCCACAGACAG